GTCATCAGTCGTCATCTTTTGTTGTCCACTGACTGGACGCTGACCGCTGAGTCATCTCGGTGACAACTGAGCAAACTCCATCCGCTGTTTAAGACTATAGTCGTCATTTAGGGCCATTAGTCGACCAGTCACCCGCATGTTTAGGATATTAATGTATTCATTAAATGTTTTGGGCGAGGCAACACAGTGGTTTGAGTTGAAGGTGTGAGAAAGAATAGTATCAGTAACATTGTTAACACTGTGCTACATTACAGAAAAATACAAAACCGTACTAATGAAGGCCTATATTTTATCTCCAAGTGCATGTCACACACTGAGCGAGCCGCCTGTTAATGATGCTGTGGGCTAATGGGCATGTAGCTACTTCCATGTTTCAGATGATACGTCATGTTTGTAGTCGACCAATGAAGATGAGTTTACATATCACCTTGGGTTCATCCTTCACCTTCTCAAAATGATCCCACACTTTGGATTGCCCGACATGTTATTAACTAGCCTGTGGAATAACCGCAGGTACCAGCCCTGGAAATTAACCTGACTCCTGTCTGACTGCTGTGCGTGGCCACTTCCTGTGTCTGTCCTTTCAAATTAAATCCCCACACGGTCCAGTCATTTAGGTTTTGATTTATTTTGACAAGGTGCAGCCCCTAATAGAGTTTCACGTTTGTTTGTTTTTCTTCTGCAACTAAGTGACCAATGAAATCTTGCCGACTAATGACCTTTCAAGTTGACTAACATTTGGTGGACTATTAAGGAGCAGCCCTAGTTGAAAACTCTCCAAAAAGTGACTTCAGCATTTCTACATGTGCATTGTTGGTCTGCCCCCCTCCTGTGATCATGGCTGCAACCAACATTTGTTTTCATTATCAATTAATCAGTCAGTTTTTTTCAAATGAATCAATAGTAGTTTGGTTTTTAAAATGTCATAAAATGGTGAAAGATGTCATCCTCAAATATCTTATTTTTCAACAACTCAAAGGTATTCAGTTTGCTGTCATAGAGTAATAGAGAAAGCAGAAAATATTCACATCTAAGAAACTTGAATCTGACAAATTTTCCCTTAAAATACTCAAAGGGATTTAGTCATTTTCAAATTTGTTAGTGATTAATTTAATAGTCAACAACTAATTGATTAATTGATTAATTTTTGCAGCTCTACTCAGGTGCTCTCTCTCTGTCTGTCCCTCAGCCCTCCAGGTTAACCTACCTCACTGTGGCTTGTAGTAATCTTCAGAAGTCCTCTTTCCATGCCAATATCAACACACATCTGAAATGAAATTTACGTAGTCAGTGACAAGCTGATAAACATTATTCATCCTGAGGGAAATTTGCTGTGCAGCAGTCGCAATACAAAGTTGGAGAGGTAAGGTGCAATAAGCAAATTTGGTCAATGCCAGAAATGTAAACAGGATAACAGTAATTGTCATTGTCTTCCTGTTGTAGTCTTTACGCACAGTTTAATACTGCTGCATTAAATGCAATCAAACTCTAGCGTCATTGGTTTCTGCTTCCACTGTCTGGTTCTATAAACTGTTTTTAGACTTTACAGTTGCTCACTCATTTGCTTCTCAGGATTGCAGCAGACCTTTTATTAAACCACAGAGTGGATCTTTTTAACCCGGCAGAGTCACTGGAGGATATTTTTAAACCTGCTTGAATCCAGCAGGGTTAGTCATCATGTTTGTTCTTTGGTTGTTGGTTCAAAGAGGTTTCAGACGAACGTGGGCCTATCGAGAATGTAAAGGTACAACATGCCGAGTGGTACGGGGGGGAATATGCACTCTGTTACCTCTGTTACCAAAGTGTATGCACCCAGTCCAACAACGAGATAGTTTGTATGTTTTGATGTCTGGATACGTGAGCGGAGGAAGTGCACATTCTTGTGAGCGCGACATCTCAAGAACGCCTTGAGGGAATCATTTCAAATTTGGCACAATTGCCCCCTTTGACTTAAAGATGAACCAGTTTGATTTTGGTCATCCTAGGTCAAAGGTCAAGCTCACTGTGACCTCATCTGTCTCATGAAAGCAATATCTCAAGAATGCCTTGAGGGAATTTCCTCAAATCCAGCACAAATGTCAGCTCGGACTCATGGATAAAATTATTAGAATTAGGTGGTGAAAGGTTGCTGTGACCTCATAAAACATGTTTTTGGCTATAACTTAAGAACTGATTGGCTAATTATGACAAAATTGCACAGAAATGTCTAATAGGATAAAATGATGAAGTTGATTCATTCCTTTCCAATGAATGAATAAATGAATGATGACACTAAGCATCCAAAAAGTCAACGGTCAACTGACATCATAAGGTTCTGCAAAAACACTTTTCTTGCCTTTATTGAATGTCTTATCTCAGGAACAGAAGCGGAGACATTGATCAGATAATGGATCGGCGACTCTAATCTTGGGTGTCCACACTGAAACTGTGGTGATTGTATGGATCTTCTGTGCTGCTGGGGGGAAGATGTGTGCAAAGCATCCATGTTTTCACAGACTTGGATGTAAACTAGAAGTGCAACTCAGCAATTCTAGTTTTCCAATTAGATCTGGCATACTTTATATGTGGTGCTAAATCAGATACATATCTGATCACTGGCCATGCGACTGCTGTGAGTGCGGTCATATCGGAATTCGTGTGTGTTTTTCCTCAGGCGTCCATGGTTTTTCAACATCATAAGTCACTGCACAGGCACAGATCACTCACCATACAATATCAGAGTGGTCTGTTGCATCTGCAGTGTGCTGTTTCAGTGGGTCATTTCAAACATAAATGTGAACATTCTAGGCAGAAAGATCAAACTGGGGAAAAATCAGAATTGAGCATTAAGCCCAGTAATGCCAATGTAGCTCATGTTTATCGTGTACCAAGCAGCACAGCCAGCCACTTCATTTTGTTTTCAGGAAACCTTTGCCTAAAGTCATCGGATGAGATATTCTAAGCCATGTTTAAAGATAAGCAAGGAGCAGTGAAGGTGTAGTGTGCTGAACAGGCTGACCCTAACAACAGCAGAGTGCAGGGAGAGTGTCTCTGAAGTTAGCACTGAGATTAATGGAGGTGCTCTTTTGCAAAACACAGAGAAGAACAGACTCGTATCTATTGGAAACATTGCCTTTTTACGTTATCTCAACTTTTTCTACTCTTTGTATTATTAAATGGAAACAAGCCATAGCAGCGTGTGACATTTCCAGATGGGGCTTGATCTGATTTGCTCTTTATCAATAGGATGTCGACAGTGGTGGTTGTTGTTGTTGGCCGCTGCGATAAAAGGGCCAATCAGCTTATCTAGCATTTAAGACATGCAGCCAGAGAATGACCTCAGAGATGGAACGAGTCCAACAAACGAAGCATCGTTACTGGATGTCCATGACTGTAAAATGGCGGTCTTACTGTAAAAGCGTCCTCTCCCCCTGTCCTCGTGCATCGCCTTCTCGAGCAGACCTCATTAGTGGGAGACTGCAGGTGTTCCACTCCAGTTGAGTGACGACCGATTTCATTAGCTGCTTCAAGTGCTGATCTGCCCTCTGATGCGACAGCGAGAGACAGACTGACTGCTCACATGCCTCATGTGTACCCATTGGTTCACTCCATGCCGCCCTTGAGTTAAGTAACCGGGACAGAGATGCTTTAGAGGAATTTTCACGGTAAGCATTGAGGTGATTAGGATTCAGGCTGGGTAGCACCAGAGTTCACCTTGGGCGTTAAACAGTTGTTGGCTCTATTCGGACCGGGACGCTGGGACAGCTACTGCTGATGATACAAACGGACGGGCGCAGGAAAAGAGTTGAGGATGAGGTGAAGACAGACAGTGAAGGAGGAGGAGGAAGAAGACAGCGCCAGGCCTGTTTCTCCGTCCTGTTTCCGTCGCGTACAAACGCAGGCAGACACAGACCCCGGAGCTGTGACTTTGAAGTGGTGTCTTTGATTAAGGAGTTAATTAAAGAAAAGCTGCATGCTAGTGAGCAGATAACTTAGACGAGAGAAAGGAACAGGCAGAGAGGAGAAAAGGAACAGATATGGAGTGGAGAAGTGATATTGGCAGCTCATCAGTTTCTGAAGTGCCACAGTGTCGTTCCTGTGATTGGCAGAGAAGCCAGCTGGCACACCGGGGACAGATATAAAAGCTGTAAAAGAAAAAAACATTAAAAACCTGCCACCCACGTGTGAACGGGGCGCACTTTCTGCCCTGCTGCAAGCTGTGGTGTTAGTGCCACAAAGCATTAATGATAATGGATGATGGTGGGACAGAAGGAAGAGGGAAGGATGGTAATTTATACATTTGGGAAGAAAAGACTGATGGTTGGTTCAGTGTATGTGGGTGTAATTAATGTTCTTGTTCTTTTTCTGTCCGCCATGATTGGTTTCCTGCCTTTGTCTCCTCTCTAACCCTCCTCCTGCTCCTCCGTCACCTCTGGGTCTTTGCGGTTATCTCCCGCTCTCTCTTCCTATCCATCACTTCTTCCTCCTACTCTTTCTGTTATCTCCTTCTCCTTCATCAACCACCACGTTCTTACAGTCTACAACTCCTGCCATGCTAAACATCAGCCTTCACCAGCCTTCTTCCTCCACATCAAACTCTTTTCCACCTTCTTCAATTTTGCTGCTCTGTCCGTCCAATCCGCCCTCTTTCCTCACATCTTTTGCTCTCCCTCGCTCCCTTTCTATTCCGCAATCGCTCTTCGTCCTCACTCCTAACCCTCCTCCTTTTCTTTGTGTTGTTCTCCTCACTCTTTTCTTATTTTTCACTTCTCCTTTCCACCCTCTTCCTTTTCTTCTCAATTCCTTCCTCATCCCTCTCTGAGCTGTCTCCCCACCTCTTTCTTTCCCCCAAAAAGCTTACATCACAGCTGCTGACAGCTGCTCCCTGACCTGTTCTTCACCTCTTAAGATCTTCCTCGTCGACCTTTTTCTCTCACTCCATCACCCGCAGTGAAACAAATTAAAATGTCTTCTCCATCTCTTGTCTTCTTCCTCTCTTTTCCTCCATTTATCTTCACAAGCCTGGGTTTTATAAAGGTGTGGCGGGCTCACAGGTGACCCTCTCCAGCCTGGTGAACCAGTCGCGGGCCATGCTGGAGGAGCAGGCCCGCCACTTGCTGACGGAGGCGGAGCGGCAGACCATGGGCTACTACGTGGAGGAGTACCGAGAAGGACACATCGGAGTGGAGCAGCTCGTCGTGGCGCTGTTCGAGCTGCTCAACACGCACGCAAAGGTGAATGACAAGAGGGGCTTGTTTGAGAAAGGAGAGATCAAAAGAGAATCAATTTTCTTTATGCAGGACTCAGTGCTCCTGTACAGTCTGTGTGTGTGTGTGATTGCTGTGAGCTTTGAATTGAAGTTTTCGGAGCCCTTCTGAGATTTATGCCAGGGCTTTTTGCCGATGCTTACAGTACTGTTTTGTTTTTCCCTTCGTCCCCGGCTCTTATTTTCTCGCAGTCTGCAGTAGTTCACCTTGTAAAAAAACACAATAAATCAAAGGCATTTTATTTCAGTTTTCTCAAGTACACTGCTGTATCACACACCCACAGAAAGCTTCTCCAGCTGCCTACTGCTGTTTTTAGAGCTACTTTAAAACCTGCTTGTTGGATGGGTTGTTTTTGGTTAAGTGTTTTGAACTGTACAAAGTTGCAACGGGAATTAACCTAGAATAAGAGGAGGGTTTGAGCTTGCTTTAAATGAAGTGAGGACTTTCAACTTAATCCTACCAGCTCTGCACAAAACTCAATTTGATAATTTAAAGCTCCTGTGTAGGATTTAGGGGGCTATATTGTCAGAAATTTAATCTAATATGATAAGTGGATTTCATTAGTGTATAATCACCTGAAAATAAGAATCATTGTGTTTTTGTTGCCTTAGAATGAGCCATTTATATTTACATAGGGAGTGGGTTCTCGTCCATATAGTCCACCTTTTGCAACACTATGTTTGCACAGTAGTTAAGAACAGACAAACCAAACATTTTTGCATTGGCCAATGTAGTTAGAAGCTGCTTTATTCAGTGATAATACTGGTTTAAATTATGAGGTCCATTTATTTTGGAGAGGAATAGACCTCTGCGGGTAATTTGGCTTCCTGTAAAAACCTCCTGAACAATCAACACTGAAGGAAACCTATTTGGGAGTTTACGTTTAGCATACAGGGGACTTTTCAACTGGGTGCAATCTGCAGTTATCACCCCTAGAGGCCACTGAATCCTGCACATTGCTCCTTTAAACCAAAGTTGCTGTGTAAATCGTGATAATATAAAGCCATAATGAATGAACTCTATCTAAAAATATGATTGTTAATTGCTGTTTGCAGCAATAGGTTTGATACTGAGCATGAACTGGTAATATAAATGTATCAGTTCTGTGCCAGTACTGATGTGTAAAGTTAGGGCTGGGCAGTATACCGGTTTGTACCGAAAACCGGTATTTATTTTTGTTATGATATAAATGTTTCATATACCGCAATACCGGTGAATAGCCCAAACAACGTCCGGAACGTGCCCGGCGGGAAAGTGTTTCAGCGGACACCCATTTCACCGCTGCACACCACAGGCACGCTTGAGCGGGTGAGAGTGAGAGCATATAAAAGTTTAGAGGCGAGAATGGCTGCCGGAGAGAGTCCTGAAAGCAAAGCAACTGTACACGGTGACCCAGAAGAACTCATACCAAAAGAGCAGTGTTTCCCCTACATGCAACTAGCAGCGGCGCACCGCCGTTTACAATTCTCCTCTGCCCTCTGTATCGCGCACGGCACAGTTTCGCCCCGATGCGCGCGCACACACAGACAAAGCGCATACACACAGGTAAGCACACGAGAGCACGGCTCGGGCCGCATTTTCCTGACCGAAAACGACCCGTCCCAAGTCCGAGACAGTTACGGCCGGGCTCCACCGGGCATGTCAGCGGCGCGACACATCTGCAGCGCGAGTCCCGTAGCAGCTCGCCCCCCTGTTAATCAGTGGCTCCACCAGCAACAGGAGCGGCGCGACAACCCCCGTCTCTCGCGCGACAGCTCTCTATTTTAGGCGGCTCTTCTATTTTTGTTGCGCTATGCTCCCCTACGCGACCCTCCAGCAGATAAAAACTACATGAAATAGTGTGTTAAACGAGCACAATGTGTTTTTAAATGAATAAACCATTATCAGAGGTGATATGTGATGATTTTTTTCATGCATTTACCCGTGTTTATTGGTGACATTGTGTAAATGTCCGTGGCGGACATTTGAAAGCGAGCAGATGACAAACAGTACAGTAAACTTGTAGATAACTCAAATATATGTAATAACTTAGGTGCAAAATGCTTTAACATTTCATGTAGCCTCTCAGCTCGGCAAACGGTAAACAACACCGCTGGCTTCTCTACGTGTGCTTCCGTACGCAGTCAGTGGAGCCCAAATGACTGGAGCGAGCGCGTGTTGCGTTCAGTCGTTGTCAGGTAAATAACAAATTCCGGCACTTGAATAGGCCATAGCACAACACCGCAGCACGTCAAGTTGGCCAAGTCTGAGCAAAATACCATGAAATAGGCCTACCGTGAAACCGATATGATTTTTTCTTAAAACCGTGATATGAAAATTTTGTCATACCACCCAGCCCTATGTAAAGTAATAGTTTGCCCAATAGTGAATGCCGATACCAACAGCGATAATTTTGTTGTTGTTGTTGTTTATTTATCATACAATGCATCTCCTCTTGCGAATATGAATGAAAAAAATGAAAAAAGAAATCACCAATACCTCATAGCCTTCTTTTCAGTAAGATGCATGTTATCTTCACAAAGATCAGCATATCTGCCTCGTTGCAGCTCAGTCTATTGTTCTTCTCATCCAAGATGTGAGACACAGAGCTAAAAGCTGCTCACTGAAAGCAAGCGTGAAGACAACCACATGTGAGCATGGCAGCCGTTGCTCTCTTACATCATGCCAGAGTCAGATCCAGCTAATGGCTTCTCCTCTGAATCAGCAGCTGGGTATCCTGTGCTAGCTCCTGTTGTCTGAGTCCAGCTGCAAATAACCAAATAACTGATGTGACACAACAGATAAACATCAGCCACCGCCATCAGTGAATGTCATGTTATTTGGTAAATGGAAAATGGAATTACATTTGTATGTGCCATTCTAGTCTTTCAATTACTCAAACAGCTTTTACATGTCAAATACACACACATTCATACACTGGTGGCTGAGGCTGCCATACCAGGTGCCACCTGGTACTCAGTTTAACATTCACATGCACTCACACACAGGTGGCACAGACATCAGGAGCAATTTGGGATTCAGTGTCTTCGACATGCGGACTGGGAGAGCTTGGGATCGAAATGCCAATCACACTAATAGTGGACTCTACCTCCTGGGCCACAGCTGCCCCGACTGCCGATAGGTTGATGGCAGTCAGTATCAGCTGGTGGCTGGTGAAATGCAGCCTCGAAAACATAAACGCATGTCTCTCTTCTTTGTAAAACACTCTTATGGTAGAAGTGTTTTTAAAGGACAACAAAAGTCATTCAGAATCATCACAAAATTCAGAGTAGAGATGAGTTTTCCCTTATTTCCCCAAGGGAATGCTCTCATTTCTCTTAGTTGGTACAACACACCCAAAGTCTGTTGCATTATATCATTGCCTCCCCCTATGTCTCTCCCCCTCTGTCTCTCCCCCTCTGTACGTTCCCTCTCTCAGTTCTCTCTACTGTCAGAGGTGCGAGGCCTGGTCACCCCACAGGACCTGGAGCACTTTGACGGGCTGGTGCTGAGACGTGAGATCCAGGCTCTGAAGGCGCGACAGGGGACAGCTGGAGCGACGGCACTCCAACCAGACTCCCTGTCCATGGTGTCATACCCAGACACCTTGACCTCGTCGTCAGCCAGCTTCATGACGAACACCACCCTCAGCTCTGCACGGGTAGGCTGCGTTTATCAGTTGAATAACAATCTGGCTCCTCTTGATTTGAAGTCTGCTCCTGTGTTAGTTGAAATGGGCAGAGTTTCTTTTTCCCTTTAAGATTTTTCAGGGTTGTGGGAACATAATATGTGACCAAATCTGGATATTTTTAAACTTAATATTCCATGTGCTACTGTTTTTCTTACATGATTGAAGGTGCAGTAGCAGTTCGGTCTGGTACAAACAATTTTGATGGATGGACCTGAGTGTTTTTATTTTTCTGGTCTGCCTCGCTGTCTGTCTGGATGTGTGTGTGTGTGTGTGAGAGAGAGAGAGAGTGTTGTGTGATGTATTTCCATGGATTATAACAGATTCTGCTGTAGCAGAGATCCAGCTCTGGTGTGGACTTTGTCAGGCTGAACTGTGACACGTTTCAATGCGTTTCCTGTTGAGATTGAAAAGTCTTTCGGCTGATATTTGATAGATTGTGATTTTCTTCCACCTCACCCCCCAAAACCTTCCTTTTGTCCCCATCCCCCCACCCCCACCCCCCTCATAGGAAAGGCTGCTCTGGCTGATAGATATGATGGAGGTAGGAGTTGCTGCTGAAAGTGATGAATGCTTTCCAACACAAACCCACACTTACAGGATACACACTAAACAAGCAGATTTAAAGTTCCCTGTGTGTGCACCAGACACACATACAGTACATACACTCTGACTTTCACCTTGTTTTGTGGTTTTGCAGTGAATTTGTTTGCAGTGTTTTCGTCCTTCTTGCTTTTCCTTTCTCTAACTTGATTTGGACAATAACTGTAGTGCTTTTAAAGAAAGTGATGTGTCTCTATACAGTCACAATGATTAACAGTCCTCATAGGCTAGTGCTGTGACTGTACAGAAAGTCTCTGGCTGTTTCTGCACAGATGAGATCACTGTTACAGAGAGAAAAGATTGTCTTTGAGAAAATTAAAGGTGTGACAAAGGCACAGAAGGGGTATTGTACAGTGAGTGGGACTTTACTGCAAAATAAAGCCCCGTTTCCACCGAGCAGGATGGTACGGTTCAGTTCAGTACGCGCTTTTTCTGTTTCCATTATGAAAAGTTGTGGATGGTACCAATGGAACCGTTCTGTACCATCCACATTTTGGTCCCCCCTCTGTTGGGGTACCTAGCACACAGATCTGGTACTAAAAGGTGGAGCTGTGAACACTGCAGTCTGATTGGTCAATAGAGGACGGTCACTCTGCTCAGAGCTGAGTTGTGGCTGGTTTTTAAGCTCATGTAACCACTGGTCATACTGTGGAGAGTTTCATTAATAGACTGTAAAATCAAAGGATGTTTTGAAGATAACTTAATTCACCAGGCCGACTGCCAGTGACGTAGAAGTTGAAACATTAACTTGTCATGTTGCTCAGTGCACGAGTTGAAAACTTGAATCAATCAGCACACCTTAAATTTCACTGTGACAACTTTGAGCATCACTTTAGTTTTTATGACATACACTTTTAGTAATGAGTGGATCTTCAAGCGTTTATTTATTTTGATTTCGACTGGATTACGTGAACTGTATGCCAGTCCTCACTTGGAGAAAAAAAAAAAAAAGTGTCACAGAGCTTCGTTCCTGTGGGCTCCGGCAACACTAAACCCCTGAGCTTGCCTGAGAAGGACTAAATGCACGAATCAGCTAATTTTATGTATCCCATGGAAAGAGACTCTCACTGCAGCTTGTTTTATTTTGTTCTGAAAATGTCGGCGTGCAGCCTCGTTCTGTGGATGATAAACAAGGTGCAGACTGATAAAGGAGGAAATACAGTGAGTGCTGGACAGAGCAGTGAGTGACAACTACCCTGTCCACATTTAAAAGTATTATTTGTGATGGAAACGCTAGGGTCTAGGTACCATGTCTGAAGGGTTACTTTTGGTTCCAAAGGTACTATACCAGAAGTATTTGGTGGAAACGAGACTTAAACCTCAGACGTTGCCATAATAGATTTTGGCATTGTATGTTTCTGCAAACCACAGATACATTACATCTGTACATTACTATTCAGTGGATAAATTGAAAACTTTACGTTTCTTGTCAACAACACTGTGGCTAATGTGTGGTTACATTTAGGCACAAAAAGCTCTTGATTATGATCAGGAAAAGGTCACGTTTTGACTTACAATACCCTCTATTGGTGGCAGAACTACGTCAGATAATGCAGCAATGTCTCTGTAAAAAACTTCATGGCACTATCTGGGCAGGAAACACAATGACGTCTAGTTAAAAAACAACCACTTTTCATGGTACTATCTGGGCAGGAAACACGGCAATGTCTCGGTAAAAAGCAACCACTTTCCATGGCACTATCATTGGTGGAAACACAGTAATGGATTGCTAAAAAACACCCACATTTGACAAAAAAGCCACTGGAAATGCAGCGATCGGCTGATAAAAAACAACTGGTGTTGGTTGCTAACTGTAGAAAAAAATGCTGTGTTTCACTGTGTTTCCACTGGAGTGCTCTGCAGCTGTCTTGCATAGTTGTTGGTCTTGAACAGTGGTCTTCAGACATCTCACCCAGGTGTCATGCCACCGTTCATCCCCTCCACCTCCTGATGACAAAGCCAGCTCATAAACTACATCTGTTTAGAAACGCTGATATGATAGTATGAAACTACTTAAGTTTGGAGGGGTCATATGGTTGATTAGCCCTTATGAATTGATTACTGCGACTGTAATGACATACTGCAGCCACTCCTCAGAGGACACTTGTCTCAGCCATGCAGTTTAATGCTTTTTCCACTACAGCAAAACACATTAACTCAGCTCTAGCCTTTTAGAGATATACTCCGCAGTGAAGCATACCAAATTCACACTATTTACATTTTTATTTGACCAGGATAAATGTTAAATTGAAATGACAACCGCCCCTCCTCCTCTGTTCTGTGTCTGTTTCTTATCATATTATATTATCTCATATTACCAGCTTACTGGACAGCTTTTAGCTCAGTTGAGCTTACACATGTGCCAAGCACCAAATGTGCTGGTATGTAGTAAATGTGTCAGCATTTAAGTGTTTGGTTATGGATGAAGACGACTGATTGCAGATGAACGCACGCATGCACGCGCACACACACACACACACACACACACACACACACACACACACACACACACACACACACACACACAATGTCTAAGCTGACAGCCGAGATAAGCTGTTGACTGTCTGCAGATTTTTCCACCAAACTGTCCCTCTCTTTCAGATGCCTCTGATGGGTTTTCTTTGCCTTTCTGCTTTCCCCTCCGAGAAGCGACATTTACATGTGTGAGAGTGTGTGTGTTTGTGTGTGTGTGTGTGTGTGTGTGTGTGACGGTCTTTATTCTACCCATGTGTCTGTGTGTGTGTCTATTTGTGCTGTTATGGACCCATGGGTGAGTGCTACCACTGCTGTGTAAAGCAGATTAGAGAACTGGGTGGGTTTGTGAGGATAACAACACTGGATTTCGGAGCCACACTCAAAGCCAGGTATACAATCAACTGCATACCAATGCATGTGCACTTGTATACACACAAACACACATTATGAAAATAGACATACAAACACAATTGCAAAACCTCGGATTACAGTCAGTGATGATGTTTTTCTAAGATTCACTGCTTTTTATCAGATAGTTCTTACTCATATCTGTGTGGTTGAGATATGGTTAAGTTTAGGCAACTGAAACTACTTTCAAACAGCCTAAAGAAAGAACCAACATTAATGATGCCTCTGAGACAGGTTGTTAAAGAAACACATGGCTTCTGTGTTCCAGGCTGTGCTCAAACCGACCATATCAAATCAAATACGTGCACATTCCCGGTCAAATACCATGCCATAATTGTAAACCCAGTAGGGTTCAGCCGGTGTTAAAATTTTCCAACCCATTTGATATTAAGCCAAACACCAGACTAAACCGGTGTAACAAATTTTTCCAGGTGTCCCACTTGACTCAGCAGACAACAAGTCCCAAAAGAAAACTAACATCTGATTATCGTGTAACATCGCGTAACATTGTAGCTCTCAGACTGGAAACAAAACCACTTGAAATACAGGTGAATTGCCTCCTTGCTATCTTCTTATATTTATAACCTTCCTTTTTGAAATAGAAAACATAACGTTACACATTGTGACATGTTCTGTAAATGACATACAATAGTAGCCTAGCTTGTTATTAGCGATGGTCATTTACCTAGTAGAAGCTCTTAGCTCCCTGGCGATCTCCCTTCAGTCAGCTGCTACCTTGTTTTGGTTTTTATTGTTAGGTAAGGAGGTATCGTATAGATAATTCCTCATTTCAACTTCAGTGGACATCCTTCAACCATTGTGGCACTTTCAAAGCGAGCAACTGAATTAAAAATTCAGCTCAAAATGGCACTTGCAGTCAGATAGGGCACCTCTTTTGCGTGCTTCAAATCCAAAATGTTGTCATATTAGTACCGTTTTCTTGAGAGACTAACTCTGCCATGTCTCCTCTCGTCACCCCATAAAACATATGAACTATCAAGTAAACAAACACAGCATGTGCCACTCTCCCCCTCCCACAGCGACTGAAATTTGATCTCCTTTATGCTGCCGACACCGGCCTCGGCCTACCAGACACTACCGGCTCCCCTGGTCCATTTCTAAACATAATATTATGTTAATTACGTAGTCATATGGCTTATTACTAATGCAATATGAGTTGGATTTAACGCTGCTACACCCGTCAGCAGAGGTTGGAGACGATGACTACTTCTTAATTTGCAGAACATGTCATAATGACAAAGGCTGATTCATCCAATTTGCATAAAGTTAAATGGGTTTAAGCTCATACACTGGACCAGACCAGCAAAACCAAAAATTGACACAACTCTATCCCTCAAGCAGCAATCTCGGTGTTCAAAAAGTTTTTCAAGTGAGTTTTTATTTGACTCATCTGTTAAGATTTTGTTGAGGCTTAAAGTTAGGCATAATTAAGGACATGGCCACTTTGAGTGATAGGCTGTCTGCAGGTAGTGTCTTCAGGCACTCGGCCAGATCACCCTCTCAGTCCTCCACTGCTTCACCCTTTCGTCCAAGTATGGTCACCTCTGGCTTCAAAAATCCAAGATGGTTGCAAACAAAATGCCAAACTCAAGGAGTCCACAAATCAAAACCTCATGGAGGTTACATCCATTATTTTCATAAGGTTTATGGCAGCTAAAACCAATGCAGATTGTTGATGAGGTTCGCGTACTCCTAGGTAGATGAGTAGGTGACTAAGGAGGAAGTAGGTATACTCTACCTATGTATTCCAATAGCTTTTTGGCTGATAGGTGGCTATACCGTAAATAGCCAGAAAAAGAGGTGGCTATAACTCGTAATCCCCATGGTCAAATTGTTCATTTTTAACAAGAGGGATGCAATGTAGCTTTGATTTTTTTGCGTGCACACATCATCAAATATGACAGCACAGACGTGCAGAATGGATCATGATAAAGAAAAATGGCATGACCTATACCTGCTGCTTTTATAAACACAAATAATGCAGTAGTATTGCTCTTGCAATACAGACAAAAACATTTTAGAGTATAAATAAGAGTAGTTCTGAAATAGCCAGTTATAGATAGTCGTAGATAATTGGTGCTGCTGTCAGGTCCCTGTCCTGATACCTGCCTGGTTTGCACAGTCACTTTTATGCTATAGATATTTTCTCTCAGCCAGTTATAATCTCTCCTCACCTGTGATGACCCTGCATGATCATCCTTGCTGGCCTCTGGTCCGCTGTCTCCTCCCTGACCCTGCTCTTTATATTGTGGCAATAAAGATGAAAAAAAATATGTGCAAAGCAATAGTGAGCACAAGTTCTTATTAAGGTGGAGTGGGTTTATTCCTAGCATGAAACTAGCTAGCAAGCGATTTAACATAGGTAACAATAACATTAGTGTTCTTGTTAACTAGCTTAACTTGATATATTGGCATCTATTAATTAGTCATCATTTAGCTAACATTATCTACATGCAACAGCATTACTAAACTTACACGGTTTGTTTGGAAGAAACTGTGCAAGGGTTTTTTGCTTCTTGCTGGCTGGTTTGCTGAACTGAACATAGTTAACACAGCAGCACTGCCCAGCAGCACATGTCTGGTCTGTGCGATTGATTCTGATCACAACATGATAGCATGTGTATGCGCCTGGTGCCGCCTACTCATGGTGCGTTTAAAGATGGCTCGGAAAAACACGTTACCTCATGTTAACAACAAATTGAACGGTTGCAACGGCTGCAAAAAGTGCGGGGGACAGAGGGCACAGATACGGGAAGTGCGGGGGACATGTCCCCTGACCCCCCCCCCCCCCCCCCCCTCAAATTACGTCCGTGCCTGCACACACAAATTCTAGATTAACAAGGGGGATGGTTTTTGGTCAATTTTCTAACAAAGCCCCCCTCAATTCGACCACTGCGTATACCTGCATATGCCCTCTACTACACTGTCACCTTCAACAATCAGGTATCCGTGGGGAAATCAGTATTGTTTGTCATCACAATTGCCTCCACAGTTGGTGCAGTTTTACATCTGTAGTCCCGTCATGCTCATCTTGAGTCATTTGCTGCTTCTCGTATAAAATAAATCACATTCAGCCTAGCTGGGCGTGTTCGGTCTAGAATGCACATCATTTGTCTTTCGAGATGGTCACCATGTCATTTTAGTGATCACGGCACCTGTAAATTCTTGCCAAGAGACATGCCAGACTACACGTAGAACTAATTATAGCTTGCAGTCTGTCAACAGGGACTTCAGGGGCAGACAGGGACAGAGCTCCAGGACCAGGAATATCAACAAGTGTTGCTTCTAATGTGTCACAGAGCATGTCATAGACACTGTCAAAGGAGGAAGAGTGGGGACAAAAATTGTGACATCCTTGTCTGTTTGTCACCAAACGCAGGATCAGTTGTTTCCCACAATAACAAACTATATACCAACTTATTTATTTATTTATTTAACTTTTATTGCACCATGAATGTTCTCATTGAGATTCAAAAATCTCTTTTACAAGGGAGTCGTAGCTTGGATTTTTGTCCCCAAAACCTCAGCTGATGTTGTTTCGTCTGATCCCAGCAGTCAGACGTGTTACACAACACCTCCATATTGTTATTTTTTTACCACAACACATAAACATCACACTACGTCCTGCATTTGCACCGAACATTGGCACTGGATATAAATCACTGTAGAATTGCCTAATATGATTCCTGGTAGACTGAGACACTCATGCTTCCACACACATACACGCTCTGTGGGTTGTAACTATGTACACATACATACACAGAAACTCAGCATGCTGTGACTGCAGAGCAGCGTCTCCGCATGTAAAAAGTCGATTGACTCCTGTGATAAATAAATTGTCTGTAAGTGCTCCCCGTGCAACAACGAGGGGTAATTAAGCTGAATTGATGGGTTTTTGTTTTGGTGACAGAGTTGAATGAAGGGCAGCGTTTCTCCTCTGCTCTGAAATCACTCACAGATCTGCTCCAAATTGCCTCCACCACACCGGTGGGATTGAGCTGCCAAATCCTACTTTGAACTCAGCTGATGGCTCTCTATCGATTTCACGGCATGTGTGTTTTGCTTATGGAAGAAGACATGATAGTTGTGTGTGTGTGTGCATGTCTTATTTGCCAGCTTCCCTTAGAAACTTAAAGATTGACAAGCAACGTGAACAGATATTGACGTCTTTCCTGTTTTCCAGAAGAAGCGGAACATCCACCAAATCTAATTTGGCATTTGTTTGGGGACAAACACACATCTGTGTTTAACATCTGCTCACAAGCTTTCTGTCTCTCACTTTAATCACTCTCTTCCCCCCCCCCCCCCCCCCCTGGTTTTCTGTCTTTCCTGTCTCTGTCACCCTCCCCTCTTTCTCTTTTACCCCTGCACCTCACGTCCCCCCTCCTCCTCCATTTCTTTCCTGCTTCTCGTAGAATGACAGCGTGGTGGAAAGTAATGAAGAGGATCCTCCGGAGAGTCTGAACACGCTGCTGACCGACATCTCTCTGGTGAGCCCGGCAGGCAGGCACAGCCCCTGCTTTGGCCTGATAAAGATGGATGCGACACAGGGGAGAAGTGAGAAGGGGTGGGATGAAAATTGTGAAAAAAGAGGGGGGGGGGGTATTGGGACAGATGGAGGTGCTTGAGATGTAGCTGACCTGCAGGGTTTGTATTGTAGACTGAGCTGGAGCGGAACAAGTGTTTGCACCAAATGAGAACAAGAGAGAAAAAAGGACAAGTAGATCTTTGTGAGAGTAAGTGCCGGCGTAGCCTTTCTTTTTCTTTGTTGTCTGGAAAGTGGAAAGTGATCACTATAGGCCAACTGGCATGTCCAATTCTCTTCTTACCTCTCCATCTGTGCAAAAAAAGGAAGAGCTTACAGTCGTACCTCAGGGTAAAAGAAAAGTCTGCAGTTTCCAAAGCAACAAGAGATATCGAAAGGTCTCATCTGTTTATCCCGAGCAGCAGGAGACAAGAGGGAGGTCAAGGAGAAAGCTTTTAGTCTGCTGTCATCAAAGGCTACTTGTCACTCAAATCATATCTTACTTTTCTTTTGTAAACTTTTTTTTTTGCTGTCTTTCCATTTGCTGATGAGTCACTCATGTGTCAGTGTTCATCCCACTGTTCAGTTTTTGTTTGAGTTACACTGAAACACAGGATCGGGACGGAATCCACAAGCAACTACGTGTTCAGCCTGGTTTGTAAACGTCTTCAAGTTGATTGTTACTGTCACTGAAACTGGTGGTTTAACAGGAGTCACTGGGATTAAACTTTGCCTTAAAATTCTCTTTCTAAGCATGCTACAAATTAGGGGTGTCACTATAAAGTCATTCAGATACACAGGGTTCAAAGTTGGTAATTAAACTAAACTCTGACTGTTTAATATTTATATGTTAAATCTGCAAATTTTGCCATTTCTTAAAGGGACGTTGCCACCAATAAAACTCCACTATGAACTAAACTCCATTCACCTCAATTGTTTTGGAGTGGCTGCAGAAATCAAATAGAAGACCAACCAGGTCTCACTCCCAGCTTGCCAAATACTGACGCTTTGTCAGTAGCCCTCGGCATCAGATGCTAACGCACCAAGGCACCCTTAAGCGGCGGTATGAGACGCACTGGGCAGTAGCATTTTTTGACGGTTTGAGCAACCGCTGCATTGGGATGAGTGAGAAAGTCCGCATGAGGCAGGCGAAAGGGGAAGTGAACAGGTCAAACAAACTGGACTTTCACCCAGGAGACTGCTATTTGTGTCTCATGTGAAACCAAAAGTCAATATAGTTATTTAAATAACAGCATAGTGTGCTAATATGTGTAACATACTACTGACGTGTGATATTACAGTACATTAGTACAGTGGTTCCAGATTTGTCCTTAGTCATTAGTTATAGGTCCAAATACTTTAATAAGTTCAGTGTCATACTTGTGTTTTGCCATGTTGTGGAGCTAGTTTGCTGTGTCTTTCAAGTAGCTGTCTGTTAGTCACTCACTCTGCAGCAGAAAACAGCACTTCAAAATAAAAGCTCTGTGCTGGAAGTTTACTGTAACTAAAAATAAGTGTGTTTTTTTAACGAGCTTGACACAATTGTGAGTCACTTGCGGTCCATTCAGAATGTGCCCGCAACCGACCAGCTTGGAACCACTGCATTAGTACATAGTATTATTGCATACTTTTTTTTTTAACCTAACCACATGGCATTAACCTCAGGAAGTGAACCCAAAAACATTTTTTTTTACCCACGTTCTAAGTTTATTTTGAAAAGAGACTATTATTATGCCTTTAATGAGCAGAAACTGTACGCTTCTTGTGAAATCAGAATTTTATTTTGAAAAGATGCAACGCATGTTGCAAGCATAAATTGACATGTCGTCCTTGACCAACCAGAACTGATGGAGGGTACCTGGAGTGTCATAATTTGACGTGTGAGGCCATTGCCAGAGTGTTTATATTTGATGAGCTGGGAGTGAGAATTTGTTGCAGAAGGCAGCTATCTCAAGATCTGGACAAAGAAAACCAAATCCTGACACTAGTCCACCTCTACATACAACTAGAGGTACTGTAAGTGAGAAAAGGTGTGAAGCAACCTAGCAGATCTTTTTCTGCATATCAGTGAAATGAAGATTAAGTAACACATCAGTGTCATCTTACAGAATCTGAAATTGAATAAATGTTCTCCAAACTTCTCATTCTTCCACAAATTGTAATTAAACTGATTTTACAGTCATGAGGTGAGACATTTCTCCAGGACTTTAAGCTAGTGAATATTTTACACAGTAATTGGAACTCTGACACTTGACAGTGTTAATGGATGAAATAATACCCCCCCCCCCCCCCCCCGGCAATCAGTTTATGCAAACAAAAATGAGTGCGTTGTCAGAGTCAGTGCTGATCAGATTTATTGCATTAAATATTTGAGCTTCATAATTCATGCACTGTGGTCACATTTTGTATTGCAGTATATTGTTCCATAATACATTTTCATACCCTTAATCAATAATGAATATATCCTCTCACTTCAGGACGACGTACAGTCCAACACAGCTGAGTCTCCCCCCTCCTTCAAGCCTCCGCCCCCACCCGGGGTGCAGAGGCGCCCAACTAGACGAGATCAGCTCAACAAATGCCCCTCATCCGAATCCTCCCACTCAGGCTTGTACTTCACAGCCCCGGCCTCTCACAGCCACAGCAAAGAGCCAGGACACGCCCCCGCTTCGCCCGCACTGCACCACAAACAACATCCCAGGGACCCGTCTCGGGACTACGCAGTCATCAAAAAAAGAGATCCCTCGGTACCGTTCAAGAAAGAGCACATAGCAGCTGCTCAGTTGTCCATGGTCACACAGCACAACATTGGCCCTTTCCCCAGAGTCCAGTCCCCCAGCAGAGGCACCAAACCTGCTGCCCCGTCCCCCTCACCTCCACCTCCACCTCCACCTCCACTCCCTGCTCCTCCTCCTCCCCCTTCTTTGCCCCTTAAGCCAGTGTCCATGTCCAAAGCTTCCGGCTCCACTCCTGGCTCTAAACAACAGTTTGTTACAGTGGAGGTTCACAGGCCCAATGCAGAGCCTGACGTCAACGAGGTGCGGCCGCTGCCCCAAGCTCGAGGTGAGGGACATAGAGTGTACAAAGAATAAAATGTACATCCAGGGTCAACTTTGATTCATTCGTGTAATCAAATTAAGAATATGCACGTGTAGGGTTGCAACTAGTAGTTCTTTTGAATTATTTATTAATATGGAAAGTATTACTAAAATTAATTAGATTAGCCATTTATGTATAAAATGTTAGAAAATAATAATCACAATATCCCAGCGCTCAAATTTACATCTCCAAATTGCTTTTTCTATCTGACCAACAAATTTATTATTTATTATTATATTTATTTAGTTATTTAGTTATTTATACATAATGCACATCAGTGGGCTAAAAAGCCCTATAATGGCAGGTGTGGTTAACCATCTTAAATAGTACGAGTGATGAAAAAATGGACCTTAAAAAAATAAATAAAATAAATAGAAAAATATACATTGAGAAAAACAGAAATAGCCATATTTAGAAACACCAAACAAATATTAAATATTAAAATTATACAATTTATAAAGTGTATCCTGTATAACACAGTCTACATAGCCTATATTTAAAAAAAAAATATGGTATAAAGTTGGAGGCAAAACAGAACATTTTTACAATTATGTGTGTCAGTGACTAAAAAAATATACACTTATATACACAGGGAGAGACAGAAAGATACAACCCCAATTTTTATTTTATTTTATTTTATTTTGGAGAAAATGTTTGATCTCATACTTTTTCAGTCTGGAGAGTGATAATGTAAAGTAATTACAGTGTTAAGTAATACATTTGCTAAACTGTTAATCATAACTTTTTCTGCTAATGGACAGTGAAACTATCATGCCAACAAATGAGAAATATGTGCCCTCTAACCTCATAATTCAGTCCTTTAAAGTAGTGATTTGTACATGTGAATTAACAGAATAGAAAAAATGTGTTATGTTTAAAGGATGATAAAGATATCAGAACATAATGTTCAACAGCCAAAATGTCCCCAAATTCTAATGTATTCTGTGCAGACAAAATATAAATAAAAAATTAAGTCAGTTTTTTTAAAACAAATTTACATGACCTTCAATACCCTTTTTTTTCTCCAGAATTCGCAAGATTAACCTCAGATACCAGTTTAGTGTAAGGTTACAATAACAGCCAAACAACTCCAATGACACAGGCATACTTTATTATCATTGTACTGGAGTTGCCTGTATTGTAAATGTGTCCGTGTACTCTAGATGTACATACATATGAGCTTTGCAGTACAAAAAGTCGTCTGTCTCACCTAAAGTGTCCTTTGAAGTGTTTGTGGTAATTATGACACATTCAGATTAGATCCTGCAGCTCAGATTCATTTACTGATGCTGGCCAGATTCTAAAGCTTACTAATTGTCACTTTCTGCGGTACAAAGAGGAAATATGCAGCTGCAGTTATAAAGAAGATGTGTATAAATATCACATGTATAATCTTTCCAAATTTGTATTTACTTTGGTTTAATGTGGTGAAATGAGCAATTACCCAGAACACTGTGTACGATTGCCACCGCATGCAAAACATTACTAATCTTAATAAGCTTTTAATCTTGTATTAGATCTTAAAATCTGATCTTTTTTAGGGTAAATCTAAAAATCTGGGATGTTTTTTCTTCTAAAGTTGAAGTAGACGATTAAAATCAATAAAAAAGTAGAACTTTTATATTGCTTTCATACAATAAGATTTAAAGGACAAACAGTGAGATGGTGTGTTGAGTTTCCCATCATCATGGCGTGTCTGCCTGTTTACCCTCAGGTGGTGCCCTGTCTCAGCTGTCAGACAGTGGCCAGACCCTCAGTGAGGACAGCGGGGTGGACATAGCTGAGTCAGGACACGTCAGCAAAGACAGCAGTCCCCATTCCTCACGCACTCGCCACCCTCGAGACACCCAGGGGGGCGGGGGGGACAACCCCTCCAAACCGGTGAGGGGGTGATTCAGCAGCAAACGTGGATTCATTGTTAAACTCTGGGGAATGATAAATGTTTTCAATTAGTTTAGGTGTGTGTGCCATTGTATTTCTGTCTTTGTGAGGACCGGTCTGAGTTAAATATTTGAGAATAATGTCAAGGTAACATGTGGAAGGTGGGGACATCTCTGGAAAGCCAAAACACATAAAGAGAATGAGAATGGTTTGTTTTAAACATTTTAGAAAGTAAGAGCATTTTAATAAAGTGGGGACATTTTTGAGGGGGGGGGGGGGGGTTCAGGCTTTTCAGTTTTAAAGGGACAGTCTCCCCCAAAATCAAAAATATGTATTTTTCCTCTTACCTGTAGTGTTATTGATAAGTCTAGATTGTTTTGGTGTGAGCTGCAGAGTGTTGGAGATCATCTAATTCTTGAGAGTAAATTATTGCTCCTAGCGAGGGAGTTCATGTATCTCAGGGTCTTGTTCATGAGTGAGGATAGAATGGAGCGTGAGATGGATCGGCGGTTTGGTGCGGTGTCTGCAGTGATGCTGGGCCAACGTGGTGAAGAGGGAGCTGAACCGTAAGGCAGGGCTTTCGATTTACTGGTCCATCTATGTCCCAACCCTCACCTATGGTTGTGAGCTCTGGTTAATGACCAAAAGAATGAGGTCACAGATACGAAATGAGTTTCCTCAGAAGGGTAGCTGGGCTCAGCCTTAGAGACATCCGGAGAGAGCTCATAGTAGAGCTGTTGCTCCTTCGCTTTCGAAAGGGGTCAGTTTGGGTGGTTGGGGCATCTGATCAGGATGCCTTCTGGGCGCCTCCCACTGGAGGTGTTCTGGGCATGGCGTACTTATAAGAGGCCCTGGGGCAGACCCAGAACACGCTGGAGGGATTACATATCTTGTCCAGCCTGGGAACACCTTGGGGTCCCCCAGGAGAAAGTGTTGCTAGAGAGAGGGACATCTGGAATCCTTGTTCAGTCTGCTGCTTTCCGCAACCCAGCTTCAGATAAGCAATTCAGAATGGATGGATGAATGAATTCTTTTTCACCAGTAGTTGCTAGTGGCTGCACAGTGCAACACTTTGTGTAGGCTTCTGTTTCAGAGCAGCAAAGAGGAATATCTGATAATTGTATCTGTATCTGAACAATGCTGCTCACAGCAAGGTCTGATCTTCAGTAAATGGGTCATGATTTCTGGAAAGAGACATTGCTATTGAGTTTTTTGAATGTTTTCTTTCGTCTCCTGGAGCACCACAAGAGTGCAATCCAGTTCCATTATACTGGAGAGAAGGCAGACACCTCTACAGCCGATATCTCCAACACTTGGCATCTCACACCAAAATAATCTAAACTGATAAATGGCACTACGGGTGCAAGGAAAAGTTTATATTTTTTGTTTTGGGGTGAACTGTACTTTTGAGGGTATGGTTAGAATGAGTTTTAGTGTAAAGTTGGAGTTATGGGGTAGAAAATCAATTACTATGTCAGTGTGGGTCCTCACAAGTACAGAAGTACAAGTGTGTGTGTGTCAGCTGAAAAGCAAACCAAGTGTTACAGGTTGATTACTTGTTGTGCTTTATTACTAATCCTCCTCCAGAATCTGCTCTCAAACCTAACCGTGATCTCTTCTCTCCTCCCTCTGTTTGCTCACACAGACTGTTTCCTTTGTTTCACTCATTTGTTTATTTCTCACTCATGTCATTCATTCAGTCACATGATCCATCATTTGTTTCATCGCTCACCGCGGTGTAGCGTTATGAAACTCTCAAAGCGCTCTCTGGTTCTTATTGATTGATGGAAGAGACAACAAGTAAGGATGGGAGTACCCTAATTGTTTATGATGACAAGGCCATTAGATTCAATGTCTGTTTTAGATTAAAAATTATTAGGCACAAAGTGTGAAGGCTGAATCGACTTTGTATCATAAAAAGCTGCATTTTATTGCCGACGAGCACAACATTTACCTCCTGTTTACTCCTGAGTGTGCTGAAAAGAGAAAAGTGATGTGCTCATAAAAGTTTCCTAAATGAACTAAAGGAAGACATTTGTTTAAGGCTCGTTACCGTCTACTCCTCGTTACATCAATCAAAGCACAAAGCACATTAACTGGTGCAGAATTGTGTAGTGAGCTGGTAATGTAGTCCCGATTCACTGAAGAAATTATTGCAAGCTACATGTTTTAGAGAAGGTCAAAGTGAAGGTGAGCTAACCAATTTGTGTATTTAAACTGTTTGCCTCGAGGGTTGTCTGCCAGAAAATGATTCCTTGGTTAAAGTTAGGGGAAAAAATTAATAGATTTGGGGCTCTAGGCAAACTTCTCCCATGTGCTGGGTTGTATAAAGAAAGTTAAGCCTCCTCTGCTGGCTGTTTCACTGGCTCCCTCAAGAGACTTTATCTGCCTTTTATGAAAACAGCTAAAACATGTTTCTGGGATTTTTTGTCCATATTTTAAGATAAATTAATGTCTGCTGTTGCCCTGGATAGTAAAGCCGGAACAACCTGTTTTAACAAAGGGGATTGTGTTAGCATTAACCAGCTACTGCTAACATGAGGCTTTAGCAGCACATTAAGCCCCGTTTCCACCAGACACTTTTGGTATGGTACCTTTGGAACCAAAAGTAACCCTTCACACATGGTACCTAGACCCTAGACTTTCAACCGCAAACAGTCCTCTTAAATGTGGGCGGGGTTGTTCTTACTCACTGCTCCGTCCAGCACTCACTGTATTTCCTCATTACCGGTGACACAAATGGAAGTCTGCACCTCATTTATCGTCCACAGAACGAGGCTGCACACCGACATTATCAGAACAAAATAAAACAGGCTGCAGTGAGTCTCTCTCCATGAGGTATTTAGAAATAGCAGGTTTGTGCATTTAGTCCTTGTCAGGCAAGCTCAGGGGTTTAGTGTTCCTGAGCCCACAGGAGTAAGGATTGGGATATATACAGTCACATAATCCAGTTGAAATTGATATATAATTTTACTAACTAACTAAAGTAATGGTCAAAGTTGTTTAAAATTTAAGGTGTGTTGATGGATTCACGTCGTCAACTTATGCATTGAGTAACATTGCAAGTTAACGTTCCACCTTAAAAGTTGCCGGCAGTTATTTTGTTACTCTGCCTGCAGTTGCTGCAAGAGGCAACAAACCATCCTTTCATTTTATAGTTACAGTCTCCACAGTATGAACAGTGGTTACATGAGCCTCAAAACCAGCCACAGCTCAGCCCTGAGCAGAGTGACCGTCCTCTACTGACCAATCAACAGACTGCAGTGTTCACAGCTCCACCTTTTAGTACCAGATCTGTGTGCTAGGTACCCCAACAGAGGGGGGACTAAAAAAGAAATGAGATTTCACGGTCAGTGTAGCAGCTTTAGTGAAGTATAATAAATGCACTCTGCTTTAAGTGTGCTCTGCAGACGCGTCGCGTGGCTTTCGTGTCTCATGTATTTCAGCCGTGAATGCGTGTCTGTGTCTGCCCCCTTGTTTTGGAGTATTTCTCTCCCCTAGTGGCCAAAAAAAGAAATTACTGCAACTTTAAAAAAAAAAATACCCAGTGATACCCAGCAATGAAAAATCATTTTAAAATTATTATCAGGGTGTGTGTGACATCCAAAAGAATATGGACATACAATCCCAGGAGCATGTTTCAGCTTAACATACAGATGAAACACACACCCAGAGGAAAGAGATCCCCATATGTGGTTACAGAAGCGGAAGTGTGGAAGAGAAGCTTTATAAGAGGTGTCTAAATAATAGAAAAAATGCAGAGATGCCTTGTTAAAAGTGATCAAAACAGATTTTCAAATGGTAGTTTTATTTTGTCCTCTGACTTGTGAGGCTGTTAAGCATGAATGCTCATTCATGAATATGTCACCAGGATTGAATATGTAAATGTTAATAGAGTTGTGGCCTTTATGAATGTGTAAATCCACGGAGAAGCCTCTTGGGTATGTGTGCTCGGAGAAAACAAAGCTCTTCCTTGGATAAACAAAGGCAGAAACATATATAGTATGCACAGTGGCACAAAGGGGAAGCAGACGTAGGTAGGTTGTGTAATGTTGTTTATAAGTATGCATAATGCTCTTCTGATTTGATAACTTGTGACCCCCTCCCTCTCTTTCCCTTACTTTAGCCGGGGCTGTTGGAGCCCACCTCGACACTAGTGAGGGTGGCAAAAAGTGCCAGCACTCTGGGTATTGCCATTGAAGGAGGAGCCAATACTCGACAACCGCTGCCACGAATTGTCACAATACAGGTGAGTCAGGAAGAAAACAAAATGATGTTAAAAAATTCTACCCACACAGGGCTCACCTTGACTTAACCCAGTATCCTTATAAAAGATCCCATACACTAAAAAGTTAGATTTACTTTGTTAATATAAAGCAGGTGTAGGTGATACATACACATACCCTTTAAGTACTAGAATGTCCTGTCTACAGAAAAGTGCACACAGTCTGTATTCAGAAACTGTGCCTTTAAATAAGCCATCAGGACTTCTGTGAAGTTGTGATGTCACAACTTTACTATACAGACCGTTTCAAACTTAAAACATAAGCATTCTTTGTACTTCCTGTTAGAATTTTTGCAGTGTACAGTATGTGGATGACATCAGCTGACAAGAAGTAAACATGGACCCAAGCTGTTGCCTAACAATGCCATTCCATTAAAATGGTCTATAGACTCACAAACCCCGTGTCATATATTTAAAGTCAAATGGCGCTGAGCAAACACTACCTCACTTGGTTAGTTAAGAAAAGGCCCATTGGAAACAATTAACATTTGTTTAGGTGTACACTATATTTGGAATATTTTCACTGCTTTATCTTTTCATCAGATGGCCCTTTACGACTGAGGCCGTTATCTCAAAGCCACCAGACTCCACTGACAAAAATTTTAGAACATGGGAGGTACTGGATTACCGCTGCCTCAATCAGTTAGTATGTAGGGCAAAGCAGTGAAAGTATTCCAAGTATAGCACACACATTTAAACTGGTATTGATTTCTTGTAGGAGGGTCTTTTTAGGTGGCCCGTCCACAGCTTGGCTTAATTTAGCTTCCATGCTGGTAGATTTAGTTATAGTCTAGTTTAGTTTTGCTAGCAAAGGACCACAGAAAATAAAATGTCTCCCCCCTTCAAGTAAAGATATTCCAAAAAAATACTTTAGTAATGTAACAAAGAATTATTACTTTGTTACATTACACCACTGATTATATATCTTTGAATGTGACAGTTATGGTGGAACATGAGAACAGAAATAAACAAATTTGTTGATTTCACAAATCTATAATTCAAAACAGTTGTCTACTTGAAGGTGTTAGCATAACATCACAGTGATTCGATCTATAAATTTAGAAAGTGCTGCTACAGTGACGTAGCAGTCACTGTAGCAGCAGCGATTCCCTTGACTGCGATGACAGTGCTGAGATGCTGAGACTGTAGATGTGGAAGACCCGGAAACACTGACCAATCAGAGTAGGCTGGGCTTGTTTTAGAGAGGGTCTTAAAAGGATAATGCACCCATATGCCGAGGGAGGCTCAGGTGAAGTTTTAGAGTCCTCACATCCCTTGCGGAGATCCAAGGGGAGAGGGGGTAGCAACACAACTGCACACCTAATGGAGGTTTACGGCGCCCCAGATTAAAACGTCCAAAAAACACATAATTGAAACAACAGAATATCTCCATACTGCTCGTCTGTAGTGATCCAAGTGTCCTGAAGCCCTGACATAAAAAGTTGTTTGGAAAAACGTCATTTAAACTCTGTTTTTAGCCTCATTGTAGCCTGCAGCTCTAACTGTTTCTGTGTACACCGAGCTCACGTGTGCGTGCTTGCGCACGAGACCAGCGAAAGCATGTGAACACACGTGAGCGCTGTCTACCGAGAGGCAGTTAGAGCTACAGGCTACAATGAGGCTAAAAACAGAGTTTAACTTAAGTTTTTCCAAACAACTTTTTATGTGATGGAGATATTCTGTTGTTTCAACTATGTGTTTTTTGGACATTTTAATCTGGGGCGCCCAGCCTCCATTAGGTGGAGTTTTGTTGTTAGCCCCATCTCCGCAAGGGATGTGAGGACTCCAAAACTTCACCTGAGCCTCTCTCGGCATATGGGTGAGTAGATAATGGCTGAATTTTCATTTTGGGGTGCACTATCCCTTTAAAGAGACAGGCGCTAAACAGAGCATTTCAGATAGACAGTGAATATGGGTACATTCAGGTAGTCAGTATGAAGGAATTTATGTGTTTTCCGAACATTAAAGCATGTAAATATGTTCTAGTAGAAACCCAAAATACAACTATGAACCTGAATATGAGCATAATGTAGGACCTTTAAAATGCAGTCGGCTCAGTTTTGGTGAATATTCTCCTCACATTGTCGCCTCTGTTTATTATATCCTTGGTGCCTTCTTTGATTCTCTGTGATGGCACCATGCGCCCACTTTCCAGATGGGATTTGATGTCCTTTAAGGTATTTGGATTCACACTGCAGCTGAACTCACACTGAGATTCCTGCTAATCTTGTCCTCGCTGGGGCTCACACAAAGATGATGGCAACATTAATGGCCTCGATGAAAAGGCTTGACTGCCTGGAGACTCTAGCAATTCACTGCAATTACTTTTTCAGTATGAAGCAATTGGTATAAAGTTGATGTTTAAGAATAAAGACAGCACCACCTATGGGGGATTATACAGCAGCTTTTATATCAAAGCCAACAGTCAGGCTCAGTTCAGATATGTTCATGTTTAGTTAATGAAGAGCCTGAATAGAGTCGCACGTGTTACATTTCAAGTAAGAGATTTTAAATTTGCATGTCTGTGTTGAAAAATACTGGAAATTCAGATCTTCTGGCTACACAGAGTGAAATCCAGAAATTGATAGGTTAGTCACCTCTGAGGGAAGCTATTACTGTGACTGAATGTGCATATATCTGTCTGCCATGGTAATTTGTAAGTCAACAAAGCCTTGCATTAGCTCAGGACTATCTGTAGCACTAATCATTTCCTAACCACAGAGGAAGCCAGGAGTTACAATTTAGAGATCAGAGTAGCGAGCAGCCACAGACTACAGTCCACACTCTGTTCAAAGCTGTCTGTCAGCCTCCCACTCCACAGAGGTGGTGATTGAAATAAAAAAAGGGGCTGCTGATTGCGAGGGGAGGGATAAAAGGATTGAAAATCAGCACATTCAAAATCAAAGACTGCACTGAAAGAAAGGGCGGCGAGTGTGAGTGAAGGATGCAAAAGAAGTGAGAGCAGTGTTAATAGGGAGGGGAGGGTTGAAGAGGATTTGTGCAGATGAGGAAGTGGATGTCTGGATTTGTTGATGGATGCAGTGTTTGGGTCTTTAGTGGCTGTGTAGGTGGTGGGAAGGTGGTTGTGGGAAGCTTTAAATCGGCACTAAGTAAACACAGCCGAACACACGGTCTTGTATGTTTCTACAAACCATGAATGTTGCAACATATCAACGTTTATAAAGTGACATAGTTCTAGTTACATGTACATGAGCTGACTGTGTCATTGGAAGGTAGAGGGGATTGGGGTGGCATGGCACCCAGGCAAGATGCTTACCAACCTGCAGACCACTACAGACCACTGTTCAAGACCAACAACCAACAAAATCGGTTGTTTTTTACTGATCCGTTGCATCAAAAAGCAGCTGTTTTATACTGTGACATCAGTGCGTTTCCTGCTGGGGTAGTGTCACAAACAGCAGTTGTGTTTTACCGAGACATATCTATATTTTTTGCCGGTATAGTGCCATGAAAAGCAAGTATTTTTACTTAAACATTGCTGTGTTTTTAGCAGCTTTTTAGCCATGAAACCGAGTACTTAGAGCCAAAACATAATCTTTTCCTAACCAGAACTTAGTGGTTTTTGCGCCTCAACCTAACCATACATTAACTACAGCGTTGTTAAAAATGCAAAGTTTCAATATATCCATTACATAATAATTAGGGCTCAATGCAAGTAAGAATTTTCCTAGTCGACCAATAGTTGCCATTTAGGGCCATTAGTCGACGACCTGCCTGCATGTTTACAATATTGATTTAATTGTTAAATGATATATTTTGGGTGGGGCAACACAATGGTTTGAGTTGAAGGTGTGAGAAAGAATAGTATCAGTAACATTGTTAGCACTGTGCTACATTACAGAGAAATACAAAACCGTACTAATGAACCTTCATTAATATAGGCCTATATTTTATCTACAAGTGCACGTCACACACTGAGCGAGCCGCCTGTTAATGACGCTGTGGGCTAATGGGCATGTAGCTACTTGCATGTTTTAGATGATACGTCATGTTTGTAGTTGACCAATGAAGATGAGTTTACATATCACCTTGGGTTCGTCCTTCACCTTCTCAAAATGATCCCACACTTTGGATTCCCTGCCCGACATGCGACTTTAACTACTTGGAAAGTGCGGGGTCGGGCACTGGGCGCTACTCTTGTGCCTGTTCTGTGCCAGCTTTCAAGAGCACGGTGACAGGTTGCATCTGAGGTTGCTAAGCAACCTTAACAAGCATCGCATAGCTGATATACCGGAAATCCTGAGTACAGAGCTGATCTTCTTCCAGGAGCTGTTTATAAGTGTGTAGGCCTATCGTCTGTGGGACAGATGTAAAGCTCTGGGTAGCCCTGCACTAACATGATCAAGTTTTCCGTATTTATCAGACTGAATATTTACAGAAGAAGGGAAAGATATCTGTCGGCTGTGATTGGTTTGTAACATGACTCCTGTCTGACTGCTGAGCGTGGCCTCTTCCTGTGTCTGTCCTTTCAAATTAAATTCCCACATGGTCATTTTTTTTTCTGTAACTATAACTGTAACTTACAGACTAATGATCTTTCAGGTCAACTAATGTTTGGTCATTTATTAGGGGGCAGCCCTAATAATAATAAATAAATGTAACATATCTGAGGCTTGTAGAAACCTGCCATACCAACATTAATTCTGGTAATTGGGTTGGTAAACAAATGTGTTTTTATTCCTAAATTGCAGTTGTTCCCATCGGTTCTCAAGACACAAATTCCCAAACAAAAGCAGGTAGATTAGATTTTGGGTTCTCTCCCTGTTTTTATCTGATGTATGTGATTCTGTTCTTGTCTCCTGGAGCGAGGAACACAGCTTGGCTGATTTTATATCAGTGCTGCTGTTTTACTACATGTTCCTTAGCTGCAAAGCACCAGCTCTGTAGTACAGGCAAAGACATTACAATGTAAGTCAGTAGCAGTGGTAGTATAGTAGTATGTT